CTCCCCTCCCCTCCCCTCCCTGCTTCAGGCGGCCAAAGCCACCCCCTCCACCCACCGCCGTCCTGACTTGGCCCCCAGAATCCACCCCCTTTGTGATGCGATCTTGCGAAGAGGCGGGGAAGAGGCGTCGTCAGCTTCTGGCTCCCTGGGTGAGAGCCAGAGCACCAGCCAGGCTGCTTCGACGACTCAGGGCTGCTCAAAAACCCAGGGGAGTGGGCAACGTGGACTTGTGCCTTTTGAGATTAGCCGCCCACCCCTCGCCCTCCCTGCCAGTAGAAAAGCCTAGCCGCGGCAGCCCATCCTGTGCCTTCCTCGCTCAGCACCCAGCTGCAGGGACTGGGGGAAGGTCTCCAGAGCCCCTCCTTTTGTTATTTCTCTCTCTCTCCCCCTTTCTTTTCCCCCTACTTTCCCTCTGTCTTTCCTTCTCTTTCTTTCCCTCTATTCCTTCTCTTTTATTTTCTTTCTTTCTTTCCTTCCCCCTTTCCCTTTTCCCATTTTCTTTCTTTTTCTCCTTATTTCCTTCTCTTCCTCCCTCTCTTCCTCCCTCTCCAGTGGCTCATTGGAGACTGATTCCAGTTTGGGTCCCCACCCCTGTCCCCCATGGACACAGGCATTGATTGATTAATTTATTCAATTTATAGACTGCCCTCCCCTTGAGGACTCAGGGTGGTAGGTGTACTCACAACTACCCTGCAAGGTAGGTTAGGCAGAGAGAGACTGACTGGCCCTAGGATACCCAGCAAGCTTCATGGCAAAATGAGAACTTGATTCTCCCTCCTCCAAGTCTGATAGAGAGTATGAATTTTGATCAAAACTAATGGATTTCGTCAAGGGTTGCAACAAAACTGCCGCAGCTTATAGTGTGCAACGAGCAAATTTTGTTGTAAAAACTACATTAAAATGTGGAATGTTTTCCCCCTCCTATATTAGAGCTGCGGTGACTCAAGTGGTTAAGATGCTGAACTGCAGGCTGTGGAAGGTCGATAGTTCAGCAGTTCGAGACCCGAGTGTGCCGCAAGACGGAGTGAGCTCCTGTCTCTAGTTCCAGCTCCTGCCAACCTAGCAGTTCGAAAGCAAGAAATTGCAAGTAGATAAATAGGGACCACTTTGGTGGGAAGGTAACAGCGTTCCGTGCGCCTTGGTGTTTAGTCATGCCGGCTACATGACCACGGAAACATCTTCGGACAGCGCTGGCTCTTCGGCTGTGAAACGGAGATGAGCACCGCAACCCTAGAGTCGGATTCGACTGGCTTTCGAGCAAGGGAACCTTTACCTATACACCCAATGCAGTATAGCAAATTCTTGAATTATTCATTCCCTATAGAGGAAAGTAAATTTGATGGGCGGTTGTGTGTGTGTGTGTGTGTACATACATGCATGCATACATACACATGTGCCTGAAATGGAAACATTAAAAAGACTTAAATTTCATAATCACAACAAGATTTTGAAAAATGCTTTGTGATTTGTGTTTGTTTGAGAGAGAAAATCAGATATTGTATTACTTGTTCTCACAATTTTTAAAAAAAAGAAATTAGCAATGTCTAATTTTGTGTTTTTCATTCTTCCTAAAATGCATTTATGTTTAAAAATTGGTGGGCGTGGGGGGGGGGGGCCGGGGGGGAGCATGTAGCCAGGAACACCAATTGACTTGCATGGGCTCCACTGAAATATATTGCAGGACAAAATAAGTTGCAAAGAAAATGTGGAATGGTTTTTCCATTAAGGTCTTTGGGCCCAGATAGGCTACTCTGGGACTGGAACAACAGCTCCCAGAGTAGAAAGACAGTCCCTAGGAATAGAATCTGTGCTCTGGGACTAGACTGACAGCCCCCAGAGTGGAATTACAGTCCCAGAAATTTAGAACACCCCTGTATGAAAGCAGCCTGAGTTCATTTTCCTTGAGTTCATATGCCACAGATAAATCATATGAACAGGGAGTTCTGACCCTGGATTTAAGAGTGTTTTAAAAACATCATTTGGTGTCAAAGTCAATAAGCCCCTTCCTAAATCCCACATGGCTCTGCCTCCATAGATAGTGACAATGGCCTGTGATGTCACTGGCTCCTCCCTATGATGTCACTGGGCCTCAGTTCTTTTAAGGCCCTAGCATAGCAATGCCTGTGGCCCAGCCCCAGCCCCCCACCCCGGGAAATTGGAAAGTCTACGCCCTTGCTTCCTGTCACGCGTGTGGGTGTGTGTTTGGGTGTGGTGTGGTTCAGAGATATAAGCCGGCCTGTGAGCCAGCTACGACATCTGAAGATCTTAATGAACCTTAATAAAGCAACTACACTTCAGCCTCAGTACTTTATAGAAAGAATCATGAGTTGGATCCATCTGGCTTTTTCAGTCTTCTGGTTACTACAGTCCCTGTCCTCAGTAGCTTTGCCCCACGCAGGTCCCATGATCCTCCTCCACATAACCTTTTTGATGGTCAAAGCAGATCTCCTCCTCCCTTTCTTACCCTTTCCCCTCCCTTTTTCACTTCTCTGATTGGATCCAGCTTGTGAAACTGGGAGCAATATAGGTTAAAATTTAAATGGGAGGGAACAGGACTAAAGCTCCTCTCTCTCCCTCCCCCCCTCTTTTTCCAGAACTGCGTGTTCTTGCTGCTCTACTATCTCTTTGAGTGGTTCTGCAGTCTGAAGTTCAACCAGTGAATTTCCATATATACTGGTATGTGCTAGACCAGCATATTAAGCTGCAGCCTAAATGTTTTCAAGGATCCATTCTATTGGCTATTTTCCCATCTGGAATTCTTCTAAACTGAGGCTGTGGCTGTCAGATTGCAAATACTGGTATTGGGTTTTGGGATGCAGAGGAATCCAGTCGTCTAAAAAGTGGAGTCAACAAACAGAGACCATGGATGCATATACCAAGCAACATCCAAGCGCACCATTTGCCAGAGCAGAAGTCGGGGTCTTTTGTCAAGAACCACCCCGGCTTGGAAACCCATATCTGGAAGACGCTTTCCTTCAGGCTTACCTGAAAGCACATCTACCACCCAAGGTTTGATTTATATTTTGTATTATTTTGGGAGAAACATACAAGGGTACATTTACTTCAATAACAATACCTAATTCTTGTCATTTGCATGACACTTTAGATTCTCCAAAGCCCTTCAGATAAATTCTCAGAAATCCTTATATAAATTCCAGTATTTCATATAGAAAAGGCTAGAATTGTTTAACATCCTATTATCACATGAAGGACCACTGCCGCCTTGTCACACAGATTTAGTTGTTGTTGTTGTTCAGTCGCACAGTCGAGTCCGACTCTTCGCGACCCCATGGACCATCTCCTGCCAGGCCCTCCTGTCTTCCGCCGTCCTCTGAAGTTGGCTCAATTTCATGTTCATTGCATCGATGACACTGTCTAACCATCTCATCCTTTGCCGTCCCCGTCTTCTTTGACCTTCAATCTTTCCCAGCATCAGAGTCTTCTCCAGTGAGCGCTCCCTTCTCATTTGGTGGCCAAAGTATTTGAGCTTCAGTTTCATTATCTGGCCTTCCAGGGAACAGTCAGGGTTGATTTCTTTTAGGATTGACTGATTTGATCTTTTTGCAGTCCAAGGGACTCTCAAGAGTCTTCTCCAGCACCATAGTTCAAAAGAATCTATTCTTCGGCGCTCGGCCTTCCTTATAGTCCAACTCTCGCAACCATACATGACTACTGGGAATACCATTGCTTTGACCATGCGGACTTTTGTTGGCAGGGTGATGTCTCTACTTTTTATCATGCTGTTTAGGTTCGCCATCGCTTTCCTCCCAAGGAGCAGGCGTCTTTTAATTTCATGGCTGCTGTCACAGTCTGTGGTGATCTGGGATCCCAGGAACGTGAAGTCTGTCACCACTTCCACGACTTCCCCTTCTATTTGCCAAGAGTGATGGGGCCGGATGCCATGATCTTAGTTTTTTTGATGTTGAGCTTCAAGCCCACTTTTGCACTCTCCTCTTTTACTCTGAGCAAGAGGCTCTTTAGGTCCTCTTCACTTTCAGCCATTAGAGTGGTATCATCTGCATATCTGAGGTTGTTGATCTTTTCCCCAGCAATCTTAATTCCCGCTTGTGATTCATCCAGGCCAGCATTTCGCATGATGTACTCTGCATATATATTAAATAAGCAAGGCGACAATATACATCCTTGTCGTACTCCTTTTCCTATGCTGAACCAATCAGTTGTTCCATATCCGGTTCTAACTGTCGCTTCTTGGCCCTTATACAGGTTTCTCAAGAGACATGTGAGGTGGTCTGGTACTCCCATCTCTTTAAGGCCCTGCCATAGTTTGTTGTGATCCACACAGTCAAAAGCTTTAGCATAGTCAATGAAGCAGAAGTAGATATTTTTCTGGTACTCTCTTGCTTTCTCCATAATCCAGCGAATGTTGGCAATTTGATCTCTAGTTCCTCTACCTCTTCGAAACCCAGCTTGTACTTCTGGTAGTTCTCTATCCACGTACTGTTGAAGCCTAGCTTGTAGGATCTTGAGCATGACCTTGCTAGCATGTGATATGAGTGCAATTGTGCGATAGTTTGAACATTCCTTGGCATTGCCCTTCTTTGGGATTGGAATGTATACTGACCTTTTCCAATCCTGTGGCCACTGTTGCGTTATCCAAATTTGCTGGCAAATGGAGTGCAGCACTTTAACAGCATCATCTTCTAAGACTTTGAATAGCTCAGCTGGAATACCATCACCTCCACTAGCTTTGTTGTTAGCAATGCTTTCTAAGGCCCATTTAACTTCACATTCCAGGATGTCTGGCTCGAGGTCAGTGATTATACCGTCGTGGTTGTCAAGGACATCGAGGTCTTTCTTGTATAGTTCTTCTGTGTATTCTTGCCATCTTTTCCTAATCTCTTCTGCTTCTGTTAGGTCCCTACCGTTTTTGTCCTTTATCATGGCCAGCTTTGCATGGAACGCTCCCTTGATTTCTCCAACTTTCTTGAAGAGATCTCTAGTCCTTCCCATTCTATTGTTTTCTTCTATTACTTTGCACTGTTCATTCAGGAAGGCCTCCTTATCTCTCCTTGCTGTTCTCTGGAAATCTGCGTTCAGTTGGGTAAATCTTTCCTTTTCGCCTTTGCCTTTCGCTTTCCTTCTTTCCTCTGCTATTTGTAAAGCCTCATCAGAAAGCCACTTTGCTTTCTTACATTTCTTTTTCTTTGGGATGGTGGTGATTGCTGCCTCCTGTACGATGTCACGAACCTCTGTCCATAGTTCTTCAGGCACTCTATCTATCAAATCCAGACCCTTGAATCTATTCTTCACCTCTACTGTATATTCATCAGGGATGCGATCTAGGTCAAACCTGAATGGCCTCGTGGTTTTCCCAATTTTCTTCAGTTTAAGTCTGAATTTTGCAATGAGTAGCTCATGATCTGAACCACAGTCAGCTCCAGGTCTTGTTTTTACTGACTGGATAGAGCTTCTCCATCTTTGACTGCAAATTATATAGTCAATCTGATTTCGGTGTTGCCCATCTGGTGATGTCCATGTGTAGAGTCGCCTCTTAGGTTGTTGGAAAAGGGTGTTCGCTATGACCAGTGTGTTCTCTTGACAAAACTCTGTTAACCTTTGCCCTGCTTCATTTTGCTTTCCAAGGCCAAACTTGTCTGTTATTCCAGTTACCTTTTGACTTCCTACTTTAGCATTCCAGTCCCCTATGATGATGAGGACATCATTTTTTGGTGTTAGTTCTAGGAGGTGTTGTAGGTCTTCATAGAACCGGTCCACTTCAGCCTCTTCTGCATCAGTGGTTGGGGCATAGACTTGGATTACTGTGATGTTGAATGGTTTGCCTTGCAATCGGACAGAAATCATTCTGTCATTTTTGAGATTGTATCCCAGTACTGACTTTTGCACTCTCTTGTTGACTATAAAGGCCACACCATTTTTTCTACGAGATTCCTGGCCACAGTAGTAGATATAATGGTCTTCTGAGTTAAATTTGCCCATTCCTGTCCACTTTAGTTCACTGATTCCTAGGATATCGATGTTCAGATTTAGTAGCCTACTGCATAAAACAACCCCTAGTCTATAGGTTGGGGCTGCCTTTGACAATTCTTTGGAAGCTTTGGGCCCATTCTGCATCTAGAATTTGCTCTGTTGTTTTACCAAACCCACACTGGAACAGAAAAAGATGTGGCTCAAAACCACATTCAGATACCCCAGGCCAATGCCACACTGACTGCAGAGTCACCCTTGAATGACCATAAAGCAGCCATAAATCTATGCAGACAGTACCATAAAACTGAGGGTTCAAAGGAAGTGAAACGACATGCAGTGTGGAGGCTACCATAAAATCTGAAAATCAAAGAAAGTGAAAATGGCATGCAGTGTAGAGGGGAATTTCTGTTCCAACGTGGGTTTGGTAAAGCAGCGGAGCGAATGCTAGATGCAGAATGGGCCTTGGGTAGTTCAAAATGCTGCAGTGGGGCACTGTGATAACCCTCTTCTCTCATTCAGAAGGGCCCAGGGTTTTTCTTGTGAGGATGGGCAATGCCAGATTTTATGGCAGATATAGTGCTATATTAAATGTTGTTTTAATTCCACTTTCAACTTATTGAGTTTACTAAAAGGTCCTAGTGCAGAAGTGACTGAAACTCGATCCAAATAAGACTGTGGTGCTGTTGGCTACTGGTAGCACCAATCAAGAAGCTGAGATTCAGCCTACTCCAGATAGAGTTGCCCCATACCTTAACTGACAGGTTCATAGCCTGAGGTACTGTCAGAACTGTGTTTGTAGATCAATGTTCAGATTTCATCTGTAGCACATCGGATTTCTGACCAACCTCACTAGTTGCAGTTTTTGTTTGAGAAGCAAGATCGGGCTATGTTTGTACATGCTGTTGTTGTGACCACTTTCAGGCTCAATGCCTACAAAGCACTTTTTGTTGGGCTGCCTGCTTTTGACAGTTCTTTAATCACAGTGCGGCACTTTAAGTAGTCTTGTCACTACTTAAAGTACTCCACTGGGTGGCTGTTCATATCCAGGCTCAATTCAGGCACTGGTTCTTACCTTTAAAGGCTTAAACAGTTTGGGACTAAGGAATATGAACAACCACTTACTCCATTCAAAGTCTGCTCAATACCTGAGGTTGCCATCTAACGCCTGCTTCATGTGAGGCCTTAAGAAGTAAAGTGGGTGGCTCCTAAAGGCAAGGCCTTTTCTGTTGTGGCAGCTTGCTGGTGGAATGTCTTCTCCATAACCTCAAATATACCAACTGTCTAATATCAAGCTTAGTGATCATAAATTGCTGACTGATTTGTTGTTTTGTGGCTTTTAGCTTATTTTCTCACTGTTGCTAATTTTCTAATTCCACTTAGTATAATTTGAAGACTTCTAAGATTTGTTGTCTTGACAGAACCGTGTGTGCTGGCTTTAATTAAATTTTAACACTGCTACTTTGTGCTATTTTACTGTTTATTCTTACTCTTTTATTTCATTGGCCCCTGTCACACGGGCTGGATATTTCAGGGGGGAGGCGTGGCTAATTGCCCCGGCGCAGTTTGATCCGTGATTACGCGATCAGACGCGCCGGCAGCACACCACCGGTCCTTCCCTCGGCGCCGGCGAGTAAACGAGGGACCGGAGGGGAATGCCGTGTGCCGGCGCAATCACACCATGAGAGTCTGGAGGCAGCCCGTGGCAAACGTTTACTAGTACTTTGGAGGTACTAGTTTTTTAACGCGCATTGTCGGCGGTAAGCCACGGGTGCGCTCCACTTCCCAGATGTTGGGGGGTGATCGCGCCCGGATAATCCGCCCAACATCCGTGCCTCTCCCACGGGAACTTTGCCGTGTGACCGGGGCCAAACTATGGTTTTTACCTGGAAAGAACTTCAAATACACATGGAGAGAGCAGTACATGTGAATTGATTGATTTATTAAATTTCAAGGTCATATGTTTGCTGGAGGCCTCTGCTTTGTATTCAGAAGGTCCCAGGCTCAGTCCTTGGCATCTCCATTTAAAAGGTCCAGATGGGAGGTGATGTGAATGACCTGACTAAAATCCCAGAGAGACGCTGCCAGTCCAAGTAAACAGTACTGATTCAGTATAAGGCAGCTTCAGGTGTGCCCAAAGGGCCGACTTCCCCAACTACACCACATTCTCACTATGCACAGATCACCGAAGAACACCAAAAGCAGTGTGAGATAATTCTCCATTTGTTCACACTAACTAGCCCTCCACAGATGTTATATTAGTGTCTCATTCATGTGGAACAGGACCCTGTGTAACATCTACTGAGGGTTTCTTTCCAGATTAAAGGTGCTCCCTGAGAGCACATTCCCAGCCCCAATCACTCTTTTCAAGAGGACTCCTTGAAAATCTGGCAGGCTCCCAAGCTTTACAAAACAACTTTTAATCCATTCCCTGTCCTTTACCAGGAGCTGCGGTGGCTCAAGTGGTTAAGACACTAAACTGCAGGCTGTGGAAGGTTGGTAGTTCAGCAGTTCGAGACCAGAGTGTGCCGCATGACGGAGTGAGCTCTCATCTCTACTTCCAGTTCCTGCCAACCTAGCAGTTCGAAAGCAAGAAATTGCAAGTAGATAAATAGGTACCACTTCAGTGGGAAGGTAACAGCTTTCTGTGCGCCTTGGTGTTTAGTCATGCCAGCCACATGACCACGGACATGTCTTTGGACAGCGCTGGCTCTTCGGCTTTGAAACGGAGATGAGCACCGCAACCCTAGAGTCGGATTCGACTGGCTTTCGAGCAAGGGAACCTTTACCTTTACCTGCCCTTTATCAAGTATATTTCCTCCTCATTAGACTTTTACTCCCTAGCTGTAACCCTTTCCCATTACAGTATGCCCTTGGTATTGCAGGTGATGTCTCAAATCACCAATCCTGTCTCCCCAATTAAAAAATACAGAGTAAATGCACTTTCTAGTAAATGTAGGGTCAAATCACTTACTTGCAAGGCATCAGTTTTTATGCAGCCATGGAATCAATTATGCACATCTGTCATGATATTATCAGACAAGGATTCCGAATATGATCTTGTTTCAAGATCTTTATCAATCATGTCTGTTGTATCAGTCAATATACCATTTCACAAAAAGGATTGATAAAGATCTCGGAACAAGGTCATATAGAGCCCAGAGCCATATTATTTGTAGACGTTCACATCGTCCCTGCAACTGTTTATGCATTGATTTATTACATGACTCTTTTTGCAGGCAGTTCAAAGTAATGAGCCGGGTTTCATCTAGGACTCTTTGTTGTATGTTTATGTTGGAATGTTGGTTGTAAAATGTATTGTTATCATTCTTGCTTGGTCTTTAAAATATCTCGTAGTATTGTTAATAAAGTTTATGTTTTAGAGCAGTTTAGAGACAGAGTAAGCTCCCGTCTCTAGTTCCAGCTCCTGCCAACCTAACAGTTCGAAAGCAAGAAATTGCAAGTAGATAAATAGGTACCACTTTGGTGGGAAGGTAACAGCGTTCCGTGCGCCTTGGTCTTTAGTCATGCCGGCCACATGACCACGGAAACGTCTTTGGACAGCGCTGGCTCTTCGGCTTTGAAACAGAGATGAGCACTGCAACCCTAGAGTCGGACTCGACTGGCTTTCGAGCAAGGGAACCTTTACCTTTACTAGGGCTACATAGTGTTTATATTCCCTTTCACTGATTCTGTGAACTTAGGCAGATCATGGAGAGAGGGTAGGAAAGGCTTCATTGGTGCTTAGTTCTTGTGGCCCTTTCTTACATGCCCAGGGAAATCTTGTTCGCCACTTCAGGAAGCAATTTTTTTCCCGGCCAGTTTGGCCAGGGATTCTGGAGGTTTTCTGTCATCTTCAGGGCATGGAGCAGGGGTCACTGGGAGTGGGGTGGGGAGGTATTTTTGAATTTCCTGCATTGTGCAGGGGGTGGACTAGATGACCCTGGAGAGTCCTTCCAATAATATGATTCTATTATTCTACTTTGTAGGTGTTTACTGAAATGAGTCCTGACCTCGAGAGGTTTGGGGTTTGCCTGAAGAATGAAATTGACCTCTTGGGACGCGAGTGTGAGTTAAACCCTCCCAGGCTGCAGCAGTTTGATGCCTGGGGTCGGCGTGTGGACCAAATTATCACCTGCGCAGCCTGGAAGAAGATGAAGGAGATCTCAGCCAAGGAGGGGTTGATTGCTGAGGCTTATGAAAGGCGATACTCCAGCTGGAGGTAACATATGGATTTCCCCCCCCCCCAATGAATTTTTGTTAAGGAGATTTAAAAACACTTGGTATGGAACTTAGGGAGGCATCTTGTGTTTCTGGTTTTTTCTTCCTGCAGCCGGGTTTATCAGGTAGCCAAACTCTACCTGTATGGACCTTCTGCCGGCCTCTTCACATGTCCTCTGGCCATGACTGATGGAGCAGCAAAAGCAATTGAGGTGAGACTCCAGCCTGCAGCCTGTGCTGCATTGTTTTTACATTAATTTAAAAAGGCCTAAGCTGTAGCAGCTCAGAATGCTGCTTCCAAAGTGAGCTGCCTTAACCATATTCAGAAGGTGGCACCTCCCTCTAAACACTTCCAACAACAAACCATTAGAGACAGAAAAGTCTTTTAAATGCCACATGTGGAAATGTTCATCGCCATCTGTTTCTTCCCTTTGTGGGCTCCTCCACTCTGCCATGTAGTTTATACTGTAAGGAAGGGAATTGCTTGGACCTTATCTATGTTGCAGGGTTATGGTGAAGCTGAAAGACCCCTCTGAGGTCTTTGGAGGAAGGGCAGGATACAAATGTAGTAAAGAAATGAAAGTTATGTATCAGTGATTTGTCCTTCCTCTGGTCACAGGAGCTGCCCTGCATCCCACAGTCTGGTCCCTTTATAATGCTATACAGCAAGATCAGGACGCTCAGCATGTGCAGACAGAGTTCTCAACAAGTCAGTCAGCCTTAGTGCATGTTTTGAGAATCTGAATACTCTACATGGGTTCCATCTACAAAGTGTTACGACATGAAGAAGGTTTTCGTTCTGAAATGTGATTCACATCTAGGATATGTGTTTCATCGAGTTCAAGTTTAAATATACAAGTGTTACAAGATGCATGGACTAAAATAATTTCAAGTATTTTTGTATATTTATGATCTCAATTCTGGAACAACTTACAAATTCGTCACGGTAGAGTGGATGTAATTAGTGCACCTATTGAAGTGCCTGTGTGCACCCACTTTAACTGTGTGTAAATTGATTACTGCCTGTGAGCACATTTTGCTGGAGTGATTGTGTGCACCCACGTAAATTGTGTCTCAACGGATGCCTGCTGGGAGCACACTTTTTGACTTCTAAGCTGCTTGTTTGGCTCATGAAGTTTTCTTTTAATGGTTACTGTATTATTGGATATATAGAGGTTGCATTACAGAAGACATAGAGACTTGGTTAGCATTAAAATTCTATGTTAATGCTATCCAGATAATTCTTAGAACTATTGAATAATTGAACTTGGTGTTCTCTTCATTTTTGAACTTGGTGTTCTTTTCATGCTATCCAGATAATTCTTAGAACTATTGAATAATTGAACTTGGTGATCTTCTTCGTGGTCTCTGTGCTTCACACCAATGGGATCTAGTGCGCCTGCGCTGGATCTGCCGGTGCCTAGCAAGCTCTTTTAGAAGGATTTTCGTGCCCAGCCCTACTGAGCATGCTCAGGAGCCCCAGTGAGCATGCCCAGAAGGGCAGGCACGGACATCCCGCCAGTTCTTTCCTTTCCGCCGCGCTGAGCAGACCTGTCTTCGAGAGGTCTGGCCGGATCGCTGCCTTTTGATCACTTTTAGTGACTAGCTCTCCGTTTTCGCTTTAGTTTTTTCTTCAGTTTAGTTTCTTTTTCTGTTTTTTTCAAAAAAAAAAAGGAGTCTTTTTGTTTTTCGTCGTCTGAGGTAAAATTACCTCAGGCCTTCGGGCCGCTGCCCCCCCCCCCCTTGTCGCTGGCTTTTTCTCCTCAGTCTATGGAGAAGAAGGCAAAAAGGTCTAAAAAGTGGGGATTTTTCAACCGTTGTCGTTCCTGTGGAAGTAAATTGGCTCCCCCAGACGGCCATAAGTACTGTATCTTTTGCCTTGGGGAGACCCACAAAACAGACTCTTGTGAGCATTGTGCGCAGTTTTCCAACCAGACTAGGAAAAACAGAGCGGCACGTTTAAAAGTTTTTCTCCTAGAGAAGGCGCTTCATCCGATGGCTGACCCGCCAGCTCTTTCTTCCGTCGTCATGTCTTC